TATTTCGAAAAAATTCTTTTATCTTTTTTATTTTTTATCTGCACTTTAATACTTAATGGAGATCATATAACAAAAATTTAATATAAATAACAAATGTTTTACCAACATTAGTTCTTTCTTTTTAATTGATCTTTAAATTTATCAAGAAACTGAAGGTATTTTGATAATCTATAATGTATAATATTGTTATATAAGACTTCACTGTAGAACACTTCGAAACATATTCCAATAAAGCTTACTTATATAACAATTTTCTCCTTTTTTCATTGTTACACTACAGCAGTTATCTCAATTATTGATTGTACGTGTCCATAATAAAAGAAACTTGCTCATTCATCGCGAGATATTCATGAAAATTTTAAGATATACAGTAGAGATCCCAAATGTGTGCGGTCTCAATTGCACGCAAGTGTGATTACAATCGATCAGGAGAGTTCAATGCTCGTACGTTCTCGCGAAAGCTGCACGCGTGGAACTGTGTCTTTCTCTCTTCTATCAGAAATTCCTGATGTATGTATATGGAAATGACCAGTAAAGTCGCGTAATGTCGGTACCATGGAAAGTATGCAAAATAATGCAAATAACGTGCCGAAAGTAACCGGCTACGCTCGAGTCTATCTATCTATAGCACAATCGGGACGCTCGTTTAGCAGTTGAAAGCGACATTTAAAGACACGAAAAAGAGCTACATCTTCTTTGACGTTATATTTTACTCGTGTGCGAACCTGCTTGACCTCGAATTCCTCGGGGAAGGTTTGTTAATTTTGGAGCAGTTGGAGATCTTATTTTGTTTTCGTTTAGATAAACATTGCAGATGTGTAGTGAATTATATTTCGGTGAGTCTAACTTTCGCAATACTTTGAATATATTTATTGCTATTGTAATCAGTCGAATAACTGGCTACAAAGGAAAAATACACAAGTTAGATGATATTTTTCTTAGTGGAAACAGAAACGAAAGGAAATACCGATAAAGTGATTAATCTGATATTATACGAATTGGTATAAAGTTAAATGAACGAAAGAAAACGCAGTAACGGATAATTTGTAACCTCGTTCAATTTATCAGTAATTTTATGAGTGATATTTTTAAGAAATAAGTTTGGTAATTTCTTTTTAATTTTCCAAATTGTTTAGAAACTACCCATAGAATAAACACAAAAATGTAGAATGTAAATGTAACATCATTGTGTTTTAAATACTAATATAAACGAAACCATTTCACATATTAATTTTTTTAAGTGGTGTATTAAAAATTATTGAAAAAGTGAAGTATCTGGAATAACTATTCTTTATAATGTAAAATTGCACTATAATATTTTGTATATTATCAGAACAACTGTTTGAAATTTTGATTAGTCGTAAATTGTGTTTCATAAATCACCGTTAAAAAAGAAATAATACATTAAAGTTGGTAATGTTCCATAATAAGTATAAGATTATTCTAAAAGGGTTTCTAACTTTCTGATTACCAATGTATATAATTCAGAGTATTTCAAATAATATATTTTACTAATTCAGTTACTGATAGTACAGTATTTCAATGAACAAACTAAGATTCAAGGCTGTAAGATATATACCTGATTATAAGACGCGATGCCGGGTGTTTCACATCTCGCGACACTACGTAACTTCCGTTATGGTCGCAAGATGGCCAAGCACACTAACTCATGCTTCTCACTGTCATAGTAATGCTGCGAGTAATAATAAAATGGGGACTGATTACGAGTTACATGAAACCAACTGCAAGTTAATCATTTTGAACTATAAGTACTTGAAGAAAAAAATCAAAAGCCAAGTTTTCGTGTAGCTTGTTTTGTTTAGAAGTTTTTAATGCGTTGTATTATATTTGTTTTCATAATTGAATAATATTTTTTATGTAAAACGTTTCTAAGCTCTTCAACGATAGAGACAGCTATAATTCATTGACATTTACTGCTAAATTGTTGCTTCAATAGTAAAGAAAGTTTGAGTACCCTATATGAATAATTATTTAAATAATTATTTAAATTATTATCTAAATAATAAATTATACAGAAGGTTTGCTATAACTTAACGTAAGAATTATATTACTAGTTAGTTAATAATAAATAACAAAGTAATAAATAATGGTCTACCTGTTTTTTAATTAAAAGAACATAATACATTTATTAATATTTACTGAATAATATAATTTCCATCGTTACCAATGACTTCCAGGGTGATGGTAATTTGTGGATTCCATTTCCGTAGAATGAATCATCTTCGGAAACTTGAGATGACATTATCGGACAGAATTTCCTGTAGACTTAATGTAAATTATGGCAGTACCTTTTTTATTCGTTGTCAGAGGGCTTTTGAAATATATGCGAATCATCTTCTACTTCCACATATGCTATTCATCAAAACTACAAGCGTTTAAAATAGTAGGCTCTGCTAAAATCCACTAGGAAATTCAAAATGAAATTCTCTTTCATCCTCTTCCGGTATTTATTACTGTAGCCGTTAAAAAATAATAATTTACTTACTAAGAAATACTTTTATAAATAAAATTTTTCATAGTGACTTCTGTTCTCACGGGCAACTTTGTAAATGTACAATCATAGCCAGGACAAGTAAAATTGACATAAAAAACTTTTAAATCAAGTTCTAAATATGTTTTCAGTTAAAAAATATAAAAATCGATCATTTTCACGTTTATGAATATTAGCATCACGCACACTTATCTCGGGCAAGATTAACTGTCTTAAAGTATTTAACATTGAAGTTTTCTTGCTGCCATGCAAATCTGTTGCGAACGAGGCATGGATATCTCTAAGAGACCAGATGGAGTTCACGGTCCTCGTGAAGAGGCAGGAGATCGATTTAACCCCTTTTGACCTGATTTTCGTAGAAAATTCTGTTCACTTATCTAATAATAAGGACCATTATTCAATATACCATCAGTAACGACATTATTTCGACTAAAATAGTAATATATTACTTTTCAAACAATTGTCTGTCAGATTTTTAATATTTTGTTAAATATTGAAGTATTAATCCAATATAACTTTATTCTTTTGCTGTCCTATGTCGAGATAGATTCAACATTCAATTTACCGGATTAGTTAAATAGTTGATAAAATTCTGCTGCAATTAATTGTAGTACCATAATTATCATATGTAAGTAAAATTTTAGTGATTCTGAATTGTCCGATTGATGGTAATTGACGATTAAAATGGTATACTAAATTGCATTGATTTAAGATACATTGATGTGAGTTACTGAGTAAAACGGTAAGAACTTTCCCGACGGCAAAGGGATATAATGCGATTCAGGTATAAAAGGAGTAAAATGTTTGATTTCGCTGATTTTCGTGTTTGCACTTGCATTAGCCATTTCAATTTTTGAAACGCAGGGTGATATAGAATACTGATAATACAAAATATTCTAAGTTACATAAAAGGTATATCCAAAATTTCATTTCAATTCATTATGTATTGTATATGTAACGTATATTGAAGTTTATTTAGACCGTTTCACTTTCATATTTAATTACGAAATAATAACCGGTGATGTGGGATAGTTTCAGCGTAAAATTGCCCGTGAATAAAGTATTAAGATATACTGTTCAAAATACGTACATATAAGGGACTATAATGAACCCTTATCACCTAAACCGCAACAGTATAGTCTAGGTAACAATAAACTCTTATTCGTTACGCGAAACAAACCAAAGATGCATGCAATGCAAAAGAGAATGAATCCACATGATGTTTTCTCTCTTTCCAATCCGTGTGTTTTATGCAATAACCGTCACGATCTTATCATTAGTTGCCAGAATTCATGGTGAGAATCATTACAATGCAACGAACAAAGATTTCGAGGCAATAAATCAGGGTGCAATGAGTAGGGTTCTACTGTATTAAATTAGTAACCTTTATGGTAACCAATTAGTAGAGTAATTGTGGATAAGATGGTCGGATCTCATTAAAATTATAAAATATTTTCAATTTTTTTTTAGTATTAATTTATATTTATACTGAAGTTTATACAGAGACTTATGTAACTATTTTTCTTACATAGGTATATTTTATAAATGTATTTTATTTTTCATTAAGTATTAATAATATTTATGGTGTATTAATTCTTTTTAAAAACGTCGGCCATGTCTCTCTCTCTCTCTCTCTCTCTCTCTCTGGGTTACCCTCATTGCAACCAACTGAACCTACGGGATTAGCCAATGGCAAGACTAATGATAAGGGTAATAAAAGGTCATAAGTTAGATATTGCTCAACTCAGATGACTAAGAGATTGTTTGTGATCTACAACTTTTGTAAATATCGCCTAGTTGTAAAATTTAGAATTAATAACAGCAACTTTATGGGCACCGTATTGTAGACTCGAATGCTTCAGTTCATTTCAAAGAGTTAAATATTCCTGGAAAATTCTAAAATTATAATTATTGTTGTATTACAGTTATTTAATAAATTAATAATTATTGTGATGTATATTTATCGTACAATTAAAATTTTAATGTAGTGAAGCTATATAATACTTTCATTAGCATGGTATAGCTAAATATTATAACAGATACATACTTAACACTAAAACTACCGAACTATAGTGAAATTGACTTTTTGAAATTTTTCTATAGAAACTTTAAGAATGCATCTATTGCGATTTCTATTCATTTACAATCGTGTTTGCGTATCACTGAATCAAATTCTTTAGTAATTTCTAAGAGAATCATTTTATCTTTTCAATCATTGCAAAAAGTAGTTCTAGTGTTAATAGTATGCATCTGTAGCTTTGAAACGAAATTAATCAATTGAAATACAATATTTCCGACATAAATCTTTATAGTTGTGAAATAAACAAATTGAATTCTAACTAATTTTACGTACAGATTTAAGAAGTCAATGATATTTAACTTATATCGATCTTTAACTTATAATTAATGCATCACTTCTCAATATATACGCATTTTTATATAGAGGATTAATGTATTAAATGTAAACGTGCGTATATATTGAGAACTGATGTATTAAATATAAGCAAGTTAAATTCAAGACAATGTGCAATTACACAAGGCAGGAAATAAAACATTTACAATGATTATTATGTAGAATAATCATTTACCTTAATTCCTATTTGTTGTTTTCCCGCAGGTAAATCAGATCGAAAGATGCAGACAGCACCGTCCGTGCTGTCGTTGTTCCTGATCGTCCTGAGCTATTCAGGTTGGACAAATGGGTTGTGCGACTTGGAGAACGGCACTGCAGCTCGTTGTACCGAGCTTAAAGATGCCAAATACATAGAGACCTATGATCTGGAGACATTGAAGGCTCCTGCGGTTGAGGTGGATCTTCATCCTGGTCTCTTCGATAATTTAACAACCCTTCGACATTTGGACCTTTCGGGAGGCGACCTGCAACGACTGCAGCCAGGAGTCTTCGAAAAATTGACCAATCTCAGAAGCTTGAATCTTGCTGAGAATGAACTCGAAAGTCTGGATGCCGGTGTCATTCGCGGACTAAATCATTTGCACAGCCTGAACCTTCGTAGGAACAACCTCCGAGAACTACCACCAGGGATAGTCGAAGTAAAATCTCTTAGACACCTCGATGTCCAAGGCAATCCTCTGCAATGCAACTGCGCGACGCTCCTCGTGAGGGATTTGATTACGAAGCAAGGCGTAAAGATTTCAAAGAAAACTGTCTGCGCTGGTCCGAAGCATATAAAAGGAACGTCTCTGTTCAAACCGGATGCAGCGATCACCTGCAACCTCGAAGAGCAAGATCATGAAATGCAAAATGATGATCCTATCGATGAATCAGAGCAAGAATACGGGTCAGGTACTAACGATAAGGAAGACATTGAGGAAGAATTCGTTAATATTTTGGAAACTTCTCCTGAACCTACCAAGGCGCCCGAAATTGAAACACCTGCACCAGAGGCAGCCTGTTTGCCTGGAGACGCTGAGTGTCCTGTGCACACGTCCCAAGAAGAAGAGATTTTCGTGGACTCTACTGAGAAGAAAGAGGATCCAGTTACTCCAGGGATGGGAAGGAAAAAGGTGTACAAGGATGCTTTGTTCTCCCCAATCGAGGGGTCTGGAGACGACGACGACGGCTCTGGTGAAGGTTCCGGGACAGGAACAATCTTCGACGGTTGGGGCAAGGTTGACGGACCGGTCGAAACCACTCACAGCGAGGAAGAGACGCAGTCGATAGGAGATAAACTATTGAGCACGTTTTTCAACGTGTTCTTGAGCACCAGCGAGCTTCCAGAAACAAAGAAGGACCTTGACCTAGAGGAAGAACAGTTTATCGTCGCGTCCACCAGCAAAGCTGACGAGAAGGTTGTCGTAACGAAGAAAATCACTGAAGACGAATCAGCTCCGGTCACCGCTAGCAGCAGTACTGAAACAGTTCAAAATATCACCACGATATCAGTTCACACTAACGTAGAAGTGTTCGACGGTGAGCTGCCCGATCTCTCGAAGGCAAGCAATGTTAAAGCTGAGGAGGATGAAGAGAACGACAAACTGGCTGAAGTCTCGGCAGCGAAACAGTCTAAGAAAGGGATAGGTTCCTACGTGGTCCTTGCCGCGCTGTTAGCAATTTTAGCCACCCTCATAGTATTTGCGGCTTATAAAGGCGACTTTTGTAAGAAGAAGAGGAAACGCGGCGATGTGGAGAGTGGCACTGAGATGAAAGACATGCAAAAGTCTCTGCTGGACACGGGCAACTCGACGCAACCGAAAGTAATCACGAATGGCAACGTAGAGAACGTGCCTCTGGTCGAAGACACAGCCGACCACGAGGAGACGAGAACATCCAGTGATCATCAGAACGCGATCAGCGCACCCAGGTCACTGAACGGCACCTCCGAACGCATCGACCCGGTGAAACCGCCTAGAAGGAGCAACGGGAGGTCGAGCCCTGACGCGAACTCATTAAAGAATGACTCGCCATCAGCGAGAACGAGTCCCGTCGACGTGACAGTGAGCAACGTCCCGTTGCTACCTGCCAACGGTCCACCTCTGAGTCCCGGTGCTCAGAGAGTGAAGATCACTTTGCAAGAGAATCCAGACAGCGTGCCGAAAACGCCTATACTCATCACGAGAACGATGGCTGGTGAGAATCTAGTCAAAACGCCATGAAACCGAGCCGCGCGTTAGTCGACAGACAACGAGGAACGGTTCAATCCACCGAAACGATCGATTAACATGAAACGAAACACGAATTTACAAGGAGCCTGAGAAACACGAAGAAGAAATCGGCGCGACGCGATCGTGTGTTCCGATTCAATGGATTCATTAGTGACGCCAGTGTTCCTAGGTCCATGTATCATGGTCCTTCGTCGCCTTGGATTTTCCTGGTTCAGTGAGATGTAGAGTTACTATCGAGTTTGTTATCTTGAACACGAAGACAGGACTGTGTCTAACGGGCGATCGAGTTCGGTAGCGTCGTAGTTCAACGGCAATTGAGAGGATTAGGAAGGGACGTGCGATTCTGTGAAATGAGATTGTTTGTACATATTTGCAGATATATATGTATATGCAAACATCCGTTGTTTGCAGAAGATTTACGGATAGAACAGATTTGATACATTTTCAAATACGCGTATACAATATTAGCACACTAGTCAGTTCCCTCTAAGGATTTTCCTTCTCGTGCAGGCTTGAAAGGGATTCGAGTGTCGTTTAGGTCCATTTTAGAATCCTCTGAACTCGACATTGTACCGTTACCTATAACTTGAGCGCAATTTCAACATTCTTGTAATAATAAAATCCTTTGTAATTAATGTTACGGTTGTTCTGTTTTTAATATTACGGAATCAATGGAACAATAGTATCGAAGAATATTACGAGGACGAGTGAACGTTATTAAGCGGTATTAAGTGTATACAATGGAATATGAACGGAATAAAAGTTCGACTTTTGCAAGCGAAATTTACTACTTATAAGGAAGGGTCGCGAACGGTCTAATTCTGATTCGAGTGAAACTTTGTAGGCCTGTAGAACTGTTGCAAATAGTACATACGTACTGCATTTTTTTAGTAGTAACTCAAATTCAGACGTTAAGATCATTATTTAACATATGATTTCAACATAAAAAGGATTCTTTAGTTATTAGTTGTAGATGTATTATAAAAAAATGTTTGCGTTCACAAAATATTTGTTGAATTATTGAAAAGAAATGCATCGTTCATATAATAAAAATTACATCATATTTCATTCTAATATACACCATATATAAAATCATACTTATAGTATTTGTAACAATTAATGAAAAGATTTTTATTCTTACTGATTTTTCTTCTGAAAGTGCTGTTTTTAAATGATAAGTACCATGTATATATTATTCTGCATATAGCGTTGCGACGGCAATGATATATTTGTTGAAGAACTGTTTAAGAAATAAAGAATTTTTACATTATCCACGTTTCATTATCGCAGTATCACTGCAAATATTATATCTGTAGTAAGTTCACTTTCGACGAAGCAAGAGCATTTTAAATCAAATTTGATATTTTCTGTATGTACTTTTGAAACCTCAAATATGAAGACTAATTATGAACCCCTGATAATATAATTATTCAAATATACTAAATTTAATATATTGACTAGTTGAATATTGAGTTGGGTATATTATTTTGAGCAGATTCTAGTTTTATTATATTTTTCTTATCCCGAAGGATTATTCATCAAATTCTAATGCTTATATTTTCAGTAATTATACAGGTTTAATTTCCTGTATATCTTGCTTTTGCGACAGTTAATATCATACTCCTATTCTCACCGTTTAGTGACGTAATTTCACAAGACTTCGAACTAAAGAAATGATAAGTGTGAAGTAATGGTAATGAAAACTGAATAATTCTTTTCTTCACTGTAATAGAAGATTTTATAGTTTTACTTTTGAATGTGATTTTATTCAAGGTTTTCATGAACTTACCACAGAAATATATCAAACTTATCGGAACTTAATTTTTCTAATTTTGAGATTCCAGAAGAAATATTACGAAGACAAAATAAACTTTGTTCCTTTAGTGGCCCGTAACATCTTCTATTTTAAAAAATTATAATAAATAATTAACGAAATTATCCTTAATGAACAAGTATGTTTAAAAAAATAACGACAAATAGAAGATTACGAGATAGATAATTCAGTGATTCAAACTTTTGGATTCCATCAGAAAAAACGTTGAGTTGCTAGAATTAAAAAAATATTTACTTATTATTTATAGTTACTCTACAAGCCTACAAAATTTCATCCAAACTGAAGACAGACTGCTCGTGATCCGCCCTCGTTAGTTATTAATTAAAAGATAATTTATAGAAAATTTCTATTGTATGAATTTGTAACAAACATTCCAAGTCGGTCGTATCATCTTATCCGATAAACGATTAGATCATTTTACCTTTCATTATGTAATAAACGATTCGCCAGAATGATGTCAAAGTTTTGGTTCAATGTCTTACATTCGAATACAATTTTTCGAATTATCATTATAATATTTCATCTCTAAAATATTTATAACGTTTAAATGTAAATTGCCACACTTTCCATATACAGGTTCATTAAGAAATAATATCGTAATTTGTTGCATAATCTTTTGTTATTATCTTAAGTGAAAATAGTAAGAAGCGCAAATAAAAACTTTACAGAAGTGAGTAGCCTTAAATAATTAATTTGTTTATTAATACAAAGTTTATAAATAAGTTTATAAATGTTATATATTGTTCAAACACTTGTTGAAAGGCGCTGAAAGTAATGGGAGTCGTTCTTAAAATTTGGAAAAAATTCAAATATAGTCTCAATAATGTAGTATTGATTTTCAAAGAAAATCCTTTTCCTAAAGGAAATGAATTTTGTTTAATATCCATTATAAAATCATACTGATATTAGTATTATTGGTATTGTATCGTCGATAAAAAGAATGGCAGTAAAATACAATTTTCTTAATTCTAGAAACAACCATTCTCATCACTTTCATTAACTTTGTTTCTTCAAACCAAATTTTTATATATTCTTCGTTTTAACCAAATGCGCGATATATTAAAACATTTACAATTAATATATTAAAATAGAGTGGATCTCCTTATAAAAATGTAAATAAATTGCTCATAAAATTAGTTCGCGTAATTAGCGGCGAAAAGAAATCATCCTATCGATATTGTGATTACCATCGAAGTACTGAAAATGAGTAATCTTTGCACCGTTATAACAATCCACACGTTATCATCATTATCGCCATTTTGAAGTGTTCCCATCATGAATCAACCACGTAACGTAAAATATACATTATTGTAACTAAATAGCGGAGACGCAATCAATATGAGTATAAATATATTTTTCAATTGTTTATAATTTTAATTATGAATGCAAAATAAAATAAAAATATTTATCGAATAAATCTTTATTCCTAAAGATTACACATTAATTTTATCGATATCTTAATAAATTTGGTTGGTATTTGACCTCTATGAGCTAAAGATGTATGTACTTAAAAATTTGTATTGTTCGTGCGATACTTTAAAAATTACAAACATGATAATTTCATAAATGTGTATTAAGAAAGAACTTGGTAGTAAGTTAAAAATTTGTTAATGTATATTATTCACGTCCATTTATGAAAATGGTGTATGTATAATTCACACATTAAATACGATGTGGACTACATTTAAAATTCATCACAGGTACTATTATTAAGTTAACTAAAATTTTCACCAGAAAGTTTACAATATAGAAATTGAAAAAATTGATTAATTATAAGTGTTTCATTTTATACTCTTTTCTTATGTAGATATTCGATCTGCAATGGTATTAGTGTGGGAAAAAAGAACGGGGAGAGTAATTATATAAACTTCTTTACTACGTAAAATATTATAATTAAATAAAAAAAAGATACGATTTAGTAACATACATATCTATATCTGCACAATGTTAAAATTATACAACAGTTTTTAAATTCCAATGTTTGTAAATGTATGTATTTTTTCGAAATTAATTCAATATTTTTCTAATGAAAGTACAATTATGATTCTGATTACCATAAATAGATTTTTTTTTCATAAAATATTGAATTTATTAAAAAAACTCGTTCACAGTTGTTTTGATTTTCTAATTCTTATTCTACTATAAAAAATATGAAAACTAAGGCTAACTAATGTAACAGTTAAGACATCTAGCATAGTTATTTAATGTTACTTCCGTAGTTTCGAAATTGTGGTATTTGGAATGCATAGTTGAGACTTTTTGTATAAACAATGAAAGTGGAAAAGAATCCTTTTAATAGTATAGCATTCTATGAAACCTCTTAAACCTCTTAACGTTTGTTTGACCACGTTGACGAGTGATTAATGCGTTTGATATGAGAAAGTCTATTACAATTTTCTCTGCTTCACGTATTGCGTTAAATGATGCATTGATACGATCAAGTAATTGCTTGTTGTGCGAAACTGACGCTAATCGTTTCAGGTCAGCGTGAAATTACTATAATTTCCTGGTTTTGTGCTATTCTTCACACTAAGTTTCAACACAATTGTAATATCGTTTTGAAATGAGAATACTTTTACACGGATTAGGAAAAATCTTAACAAACTTTAATATTTTACGTAAAGCTTATTTTCGTTAACAAAAGTGTTTTATTAAAATATTCTTAGAATTAAAAAATGAAGTAAAACTCAATCGTAAATAGTATCAAAAATCTGTACTTCAACCTTTTTTATTGAATATTCATTCGTTAAAAATATCAGATATGTTTTTAATCGTGTAAGAGGATATTGAAGAACTGCAATAATATTTATTCGATTAAGATTTGAGTAAAAAGTCAAATGTTAGAATGGGAAGATAGTAAATGGAAGTGCGTAGAACCATTAACTGCCACTATTTTTGTACGCTTCATTTTGTATATTTATGGTAAATAATGAAACAAAGTGTATCCATAAATAAAATTATTATACATGAGTCGTTTAAATAATACACATGCTAAATATTATTGATTATTTGACTGTTTATAGTTGAGCTTCTTGAATTTTTATTTAATGTTAAGCAGGTATTAACGTAAAAAATATTGTCTATAATATTAAAAGTTATGATATTAATAATTACACGGGATAGAATATCAACTTTTATTAAATCCTTTTAAATGTCGCGGGTTAAATAAAACAAACGCGAGATTGAACACGTTCTTCAATACAATTCGTATAAATAAAGTTGCGTCATGTTTGTCAATTAATTATTTAATTTGAATATTATAAGATTCTAAGTTTTCAAAATATTGAACGAACCAATGTTGCCTAAGTTAAATTAAGATTACACCAAATAAAATATTTAATGTGAAGTATTTTCAATATCTGTGTAATTTTGAATCAACTATCAAATTGATACTTGAAGCAACTGTAATGAGTTACTTCAAAATCTCTCTATGTTTCTATAATATATTGCTTTTTGTTTTCAAATATTATTTTGATGGTATTCAATTTGTAAGTCGCCCAATCGAATTTTTATCACTTCTGTTTTTAGGATCAATTTTGAGTTTCAATTTTATTAAATAATAAAATAGTTTTCATATATTAACTTGCAAATATAAAAATTTAATAACTATAACAAACACAAAAACCAAGAAAGAGCAACGTGCAAAACCAAGCGTAACGATTTGACATGCCTTTGAAGGTAAGTGGCTCTGATAGTACACTTAATCTTTATATAATCGCCATCGCTATTTCTTATATTATATAGTTCAGAGTTTATTAGCACTTGATTATTTCTAAAATAATAATCATTTCAAAATGATAATTTTTATACGCATTAAGTTAAGTTAGATTAGTCACATCTTTCTTGCAATTGCAGATTCTTATGGAAAATATAAATCAATATAAATTTTACACAATGAAATTCCTATTTCTTATCAGTGCATTACCTACGAAGGTCAACGGAAAGTGATCTGCCATTATCTTGTCAAGATAAATCAAATCATATAAGAAAGTAATCGTCTATCTTCCAATATAATCTAATTCGATTAATATTTTCTCCTTCGTCAGAGTAAATGTCCATTTAATTATCCTTTGTTACATACTATACACAAAATTAATTATGTAAACTAAAGTAGCATTATATCCTAAAACATAATATCAAAATTAAAATGTTTCCTTTTAAAAACTTAAATTAAACCTCGTACTGATCACTTATAAAACTGACTCCGCTTATGAAGAAGAGCACACTGATTTATCGTAACTAAATTTCATAAGTACAGAAATAATGTAGTGCCAGTGATGAGTAATTTTGCATTTTATTATTTAACGATTCTATAAAGAGCGCACTTTAAAAACCGCCTTACATTAAGAGTCTACATCTGCCGAAGATTCTCTGTAACCACTTCTGGGTTCTCTTCGAAGTTCCCTGATTACGATCGATCTATGTGAAGCAGTGCGTTGAATATCTGAATCCTCGTCGTCCGACGTATGTCCATCGTAAACCGTGCGTCTCCGTCTCTTCTTCCTTGCACTCGGTGTTTGTGGCCTAGTTCGAATTCTTCCGCTTCCGGTTTCCATACAGTCGCTTACCACGCTTTGCCTCCTACTTCTGTTTGTAGAGGGAGGCCTGAAGTTTCGTTGACTGGCAGCCTGCGGTAAGTCAGACCTGACATTACCAACGGAGGCATTTCTTTCCCTCTTGATTCTTTCTTGCCGACGCTCCTCTCGACGGAGCAAATCGTCTTCGCTTTGAATCCTCTTCTTCAATCTTCTAGTCCTCTTCTGCCGTGCTCTCAAATTATCAGCCGAACCCGCAATACGCGCTGTAGACGTTTCCACCGAAATTGTATCTAGATTATCCAACGAGCGGGCTAATCTTGGCATCTGCATTGCCTCTTCGTAAGTAGGCGGTTCGATCAATTCTAAAGGGTGAATTCTGGGTTCTGGAGCCCGTTCCACGTGTTCTATGCGCTCATCTTCGTGCACGATTTGAGTCCTGTTATCCAATTAAGAATGTACATTATGTGATATTAATGTTGATTTAAATATCGAATGCATTCTTGGGTAATATAGATTGGAGATAATATAGATTACTGTATTATTACCGGTAGGTAATGTTTTATATTATGATTATTAACGTTTCTTACATTTTTAATAATAAAAAGTAAAAGTGCTGTTTTATGTTAAAAAGAATAGTCAAAATAAAATATTGTACTTTGATATTATTTGATGTACAAATGATACGGAAGAAATTTAATCATCCGACTGATTCTCGTATTGATATTTCTGTGATATTTTATCTACAAACACGATAGAACAATTTCGTTTGTAAAAATTGCAATTTACTTTATATCATTGTTCTCACATTTTTTGTGTGCATTTAGTGTACTTTGTCCTGCTCTAATAAATAATACTCTGTTTCAACAGTTTCTTAAATGTATGCAGTTGCTTGAATAAGACAGAACACGGTATTGTATAAAATGGAGATATTTTTAAGTGAATCTTGAAATTAAATTATTGAAATTGTAGGGCAGTTAGAGATATATATGTTTTGTTTTTGCGAAAAATTAAATTTGTTACCAAACATGAATAATTCATTCGAAGGAAGAAAACATTACTAACACCGATAACGTTCTAAAAAAGCAATAAAATGTAACAAACAGTGTAAAAGTTTTAAAGAAAATAATTTTAATGACGAAAATTATATTCTTACCTTCTTTGTCTTAAAAGTCTCGAGGATTCAAATTGTTGTCTTTGTTCCATAGCTCTTCTTTTAGCACGCATCATGTGTCTGATGGAAATAAAACTTCCAAATAAAACGATGATCGTAAGAACGGTAACCATTATAAATCCCCAAGTTTTGTCTCGACTATAATATAATGATCCATTCCATGCATTGTAACAAGCATTTTCCCAAGTAAAACCGGACACGTTCGCTGGACTTTGACAAAGTAAACTCGATTCGGACGACTTCGCAGGCGGCTCCGTTAAATAGTTGAACAAAAAGTATAACTCTTTACAATCACAACGCCAAGGGTTATCTTCCAATTTGATGCTGTTCAGATCCGGATTATTTCGAAAAATTTCAGGGTCAATTGCCTCGGTTAAACGGTTACCTGGAATTTTACATGATTTCTTAAACATTCTGGAATTTTCATGTTAATAGATTATCTTTCAGTAATTAGTGTAAACAGTTGGTTTATCAAATTAACACAGTGTAGTGATTAAGTCTAAGATATTTGTTATTACGGTACTATGATATAGGATATTCTTTACACCTGTCTGTTTGTACGTGAGAATAGTTTTATTCGTGAAAATAAATTGCTATTATAAAAATAAGTATGTATTTTACTTAAAATTGGTTAATGTACCCATTCATACATTTTTTAATACAAATAAAAAGAGTGTTATTGAAAAATTCAATGATTTTAAGAAACAATATTGGCATACAATATTAAGTATATCTACAATTGTAGTTAGAGTAATGTACACAATTAATTTCATTGAAAATATACACTGCATTGACCAAAAGATTGAATTACTTGTAGAAGTATCTTGTAATTTCGAGGAAGTCTAGAAATTTTTTCATTTAAAGAAATGTTTTAAAATGTCTATTATTTGACACACAAATTAACTTATTAATTGCACTGGGCTTTACTTTTTACTAACTTCTCGTTTCTTTTTCATTATTCAGCTATAGATAATAATTTTAAAGAATGCAGAAGTACGGCGATAACATTTTTTGTCAGATTTGTTTTCTTTATTTTCAATTATTGCTGGTCAGATATAGAATATTTAAAAATCATTCAGTTAATATGTTGAACGTTCGTGACATACATTATTTTCATGAACCTAAACTAAGCTTATTTCCTTGAATAGCTTGCTACATATATTCACATTACATTTCAATCTCAAGACCTCGCATACAGATAGAACGCGGCACTGAAAACGTTAAGAGGTTACGTACATTTATGAAAAATAAAACATACCTGATAAATCAACTCTTATAAGCTGCGGTAGATAAAGAAAGGTATCGTTATGCAGTTCCACCAGACGATTTCTGCGGAGATCCAAATTCTTCAATGAGACGGATTTTAACTCGTTCGGAATCGTTTCTAATTTATTGTCGCTCATTATGATGCTCCTTATTTTCGGCATATTTGTCAGAAAGTTCCCGTTAATCCTTTCAATCAAATTCGACGTCACGTCCAATAAAGTTACAGCCGACGTAATATTTGGAAATTCGTATAAACTGTTATAGGATAAATTGAGCATCTTGAGTTCTATGTTCTCATGAAACGACAACTGATGAATCGTTCTAAGATTGTTTTCTGACAGGTCCAACACTTGAAGCTTCACTAAACCTTCAAAAGTACTGGCGTTCAAATTTTCTACACCGTTCCCATTCAAGTACAAAAAACCGAGTTCTCGATTCTTAGCGAAAATCCGATCTGGTAATAAATTGATCAGATTATGAGATAGCCGAGCATGGGACAACGACGGAAATCCATGAAGTCCTGGTCTGTCCAAATTACATCTCGACACATCAAGTTTTTTCAACTTCGGATGAATCAAAGTTGTATTCCTGAAAATACAACAATCGTTAGTCTCCGCTGAGTTTATTATACTATGTATGTTTCTTAGTTTGTGAATGTATGATGAAATGAAGATAAAATAATTCGCATTATCAGAAATAATTTGTTATCATTGGAATTTGGCTTTAAGAGATTTTATGAGATTTATTTGAATTTTAACAAATATATATATTGTAACATTAATTGAATATGTTATAGTATCTACAGTAATATGATAGTAATAGTAGATATAGATTAATTATATTTATTATACAATATATTCGTTTTTCATTTCGTATTTCATAAACGAACATTATTACAGAATTTCATTAAAATGTACACGTATAAATACTTGTATTACATTCAAACAGGAGATAGTGTTGCAGTGAAATGAAGTTGAAAACTAGAGCCTTTTATTTATAGTAAAGTCTCACTACAAATATACTTACATTTATTATATGTGACGATATATTTTACATTTATTTTCATTTTATAAGATATTTCTCTGTATATGAAGACATTATTTATTCATTCAATAAATTGTTATGTACTTTATTTAAAATAATGAAGCGAAGCTTAATAAACTTTTCTTGTGACAGTATTGTGTTACAAAATTCCTCTCTGAAAATTATTCATTTAAATCTTTCATTAACGATAGAAAAAGTAAAACGAAATAGAAGATAATTAAGATAATTTATTGTTGAATAATAATTTTGAATTTTGTTTACTTATAAAGTATAGCACAAAGAGATTGAATTGTGATTACAATGTTTTATGGTAATGTTTATTATTCTTATTGCTGGCACTATTATTCAAAGGATTATTAAAGTTTTAATACTTTGTAACCCTGTATACTGAACTCTTTTGCAACGTTCAAATTATAATGAAGACTGCATTATTCCATATTTACCAACATGAGAAATATATTTATTATTTTCTTAATATTTTTATAAAATGTAAAATGCTATTCTATCCACTTCATATAACATATACAATAATATTCTTCAGTTTTAATGTATGTAGAAATAATCCTTCCAGTAATTATTTTAACCCTCGGTAGGCTCATGTAACTTTGAAGTCACATATCAGTATATTGGCATCTTGTTGATTTATTTCATTCTGCACTCAAAGTGGTGCATAAAATTAAGTGGTCAGTTAACTTAAACTTTCATACGATCAGGCAAGAAAGTTCAATGTCATTGCAACTTGAAAGTTATAAAATGTATTCATTTGATGAAATTATTGAAACTATTGAATACATTGTTAATTCGTGTTCATACGTGGATATTTATTAATCTTGCACTGCATAGATTTTGTTATAATCATGAACAAAAATTCGGCCCATAGAGGGTTAATGGAGATTATTGAATTTTCTTTACAGTATTAGTGTACACTTTCAAAGTTATGTTAAAAAATATTATATTTTGTATTATTAAAATTATGATAATTAAGCTCTGCACAAACATAAATTAATTAATAATTAAAAATTTTCTACTCGATATTTCACTTTGTTACCTTGTGCTATAGACTAACGTAGGATTGTTGGACAGTCGAAGCTCTTCAAGTTCTGGAAATCCGCTGAAAGTATCGGGACTTAAGTAATTCAAAAGGCAGTCGGACATATCGAGCCACCGTAGTTTAGGACTCCATGCTTTCTGAATGAATTTCAAAGGGTTTCCTACCAAGCTTAGCGTAGTTAATGCTGCCAGACCGTCCAGAGATGTATTGCTTAGTTCCCGTATTTCTATGAAATACAAAAATATCGAAAATGTTAGTAATCCCATTGACAATTACGTCTACAAATATTATTTTAGAACTAATTTTGATCTTTTTCGATGTTATACTTTAATTTCAAGGCACACAAAATAACAAAATCCTTATTGTCCAAAAATTAATGCAATTCTCTTGGATTGCACCATAAGTTACTTGCATCATAAAAAATGAAAATTTACCGAATAATTAAAGAACAAAAATATAAACCTTCTTATAATCCAATGTAATATTCATAAAGCATACAAAAAGAAACATGAAAATTATTACACCGAGTAACATATAATTATGAATTAGCACAAACTAATGATTGTCTTTATGATTCCAAATGCATATTATTTCAACATATTTTTATAAATGATTAAAAGTAATTGTATATTGACCGTAGTTGTCTATACACATTGAAAGATTATTCAAGAGTATGAAATATCAAGAGAACAGTTGTGTTATCAACGATTTTAGTTTCTACATAAAATATCAGTGAAAAAAGTAAACTACGAATTATTATTACGAATATAATCCGTTTCATTTTCGTAAAGTCTTATCATACCGCAATGACTAGCGTCCAAAGCTTCCAGTCTGGAGCTTATTAAGCCCTCCAAATTGTACAACGGATTTCTGGCCAAATACAGGACTGTCAAAGAAGGAAGTTGTCTCACAGAACTAATATCAACGATTTCATGGATTCTGTTCCCAGTCAAGTCCAATCTCCGCAGGCTTTTTAAATTACTAATGTCCGCGGGCAATGAACTCAACATGTTCCTCGCCAAGTTCAGGTACTGTAGATCTATCAGTCGGTTAATATCATTGCTGACATGCGTCAACAGATTGTTCGATAAATTTAATTGCTCCACCTAAAAAGTGATTAATGAACGATACGTGTAACGAAACATTCTCCTGTACCACTATCTTGTTCACGCATTCAATTCAACGTAAATATATGAGCCACTCATTAACCAAATCGGTTAACTCCACAAAACAAACGTAGAGAAAAGTGATGCAATAGCTATACAATGATTTTCAAAATTTCCTGTTCAATAGAAAATTAAATAATCATTATAAGACGTATTGTACTTCATTGTTTCAGGTATAGCTATAATTTAAAGAATATGTAAAATATATAAAATAGTATAACTTTGAAGTCATTTTTATTATTACTGCAAGTTTTGCATTGGGAATAGAATTTTTGTTATTTCGTAGTATTACAACCAACTTGATGTTAAATATGAACAGTTAAGAGTCAATGAAGCGTTATGGGTAAAATTTTAAGAAATTCAAAAAGTGAAGTTAATATATTTGGCCAATGAGCAGCTCGTATAATTCTCGTTGTAAAAAAATAGAATATCATTTCTATTGCCAAAGTTAATACGTTAGAAATAATAAGAATCATGATGTTATCTGCTAGATATTGCTCTCTGTCTTCATCGACATATTTGTACATAAATGACTCACTGTCAGTCCTAGCTACATTCTCCATAATCGGCGCGATAAAGCATAGAAAATCGAACGCGTGGAACATAATTAGAGCTCCACGTGAAAGCGACTGGTCGCCGTGAAATTTGATGATTCGATCGAGAAGAATTTACTCACTATGTCGCTAATATTTTCAGGGAACTCTTCCAAATTTTGCCTCGAACAGATGACAGTTCGCGGCTGTTGGATGAAGTGGCACGAGCATTTTTCAGGACAAACGCTTTGGCATATTGTGGGCGAGAAGATCCCGAAGATCGCTACCGCCACGAATGGAAGCGAGACACAATGTGCCGTTGTTCGTTTCTCCATGTTCTTTGCTATCGAACAGCTTGAAATCCATGGAATTCACATTTTCACTGAGGAGAGACAACGAGAAACTGCCTTTTCAGAATGAAACACCACTTTTTCCGATTATTCCATTCATTTTCATTGATATTGATTACTTACAGACGGGTGGAACGGGAATTAGAAAAGGGAAATGATAAAACAAGGCGGCTCGACGCGGTTCAATGGGTGGCCCAACAGTACTCTGAACCGTCCTCAAAACTACTGAAAAGTACTTATCTTTGATAAGTAACGTGGGATATATGCCTCATGATATCTCCGTAAGATAACTCGAGCGCGCGGCAAGGTGTCGAGAGCATTATTTCCGTTTACGAACAAAAAATGGAATAGATAGAATGGGAAATGCACCTGTAAATTGTATTTAATTGTGAAAATGACACGTAACATTTTCAATTCGATTTGATGTATTCTCTGTTTTAAATGAATTCGAGAGAATATTTTGAAATATAGATCGTCGATTTTATTTTGTGATATTCAGGCATTCATTTGAAATTTTATTAATGATCGAAATATAAATTACTTTTTTGTTTGCTATAGTTCCGTCAATATTAAGAATTCTTGTAAACTGTTTGATGAAGATATTTTGAGAGTTATAAGAATTAAAGATAAACAATAATAAGGAAGTCAATATTGTTGATATCTTTTTAATTTTGGAATCGTTATGATTTTTAATTTAAAATTTAAATTTCTTCTCTTGAAAGATAGAGACCTTTAATTGAAATTTAATATTATTTATTTTAAAACAATTTTTTATTTTACTGTATCTATTATTTGATGGAAACTTACGTAGTTTTGTCATATATTTTTTACTGACGAACAAAACAATAATATTACTGATTGAAAACGAAAAGATAGTCAACTAAATTTGTTTAAAGTATTAACACTGTGTTATTTATTACTTTCATTTACAAAATGTGAGAAAAGTATAAATACTGTAGCTGAAGACTGAAATTCTGTCCTATAAATGGAATATACTGTTTAGTTACAACATAAAGAGTCAATATTGTGTAAAAATGATAATGATTCACGCTTTACATTCCACGTTTTTATGTATACAAGATTTCAAATGACAAGTAACACGGATTATATCTCTAACTATGAACGTGAAACGGATGTTACGTTTTGAATACTTATATTGTAATATTTAAATTAAACGTGAATTTGAGAAATACAATAAAATTCAGTAAAACTATTACATGTTGTAGACTAAATTCTTCAAAAAAAGGAAATAAATTACTGTTTTATTCTGTTACTAGGAATTTACTACCACTTTGCACTTATTGAATGAAAGACACCAAAGATACATCTATCAAACTGAATATAATAAAACCGTATTAGTAGCTGTGAAATTATTTCCAGATTTTTTTACAGTTTAACATTTTGCACTCGAGAGGTGCAACTGTTTACATCCGAACAACGTTTACAACGAACTGTTTACATCCCCTATGTGTTTTATTGCATTTTAAGTATTTTAAATGTATGCAAGTATTTTAAACATTGCTACGTATATTAAACAAATTCTCTCCAAATGTTTACCGTTATTAAAAAACGTGAAAATCTATAATCCATATTCCTTAATCTTCACCTTAATCTTAATATCATCCCCTAAAAGCTTATCGTAGTAACTCAACGAAGCATCGAGATGAAAGGAGGTTGGTAACGAAAAATGAATATATTTCTCGGTGAAAGAAGAATTGAAATTTGAATGGGCAGTTTCGCGGAAAATATAAGACATTATCTCAAGTATCCGAAAAGCCGATATTGAAGCGGCCATCTCTTCGGTCTAAGTCTCTCTCGGCTGACCCATGCGGATATTTTCCCCTTTCCCCAACTGCTGTGGCTGTATCACAACCTTTTTTTATCGTTTCTTCAATCCAACAGGACCATGTCTAAGGACTTTCCGAGGATGGAACGACCGCGACTCCGTGTTACATCGATAATATTGTACATTATCGTCGTATCAATGTTGCTAGCACAATAATGCTAAATAACTGAATACTTTGCATGTTTTAATTATAGATCATTTTATACGATAAACAGAATGGATGAACCTAAAGATTAATCCTGTGAATGAAATTCAAAGTTCGAATTTTGATTTCTAGCAAATATTTTCCACTTTCGAATATTATTCTTATCGAGAACTATCAAACGGTTATTTTTATCGGTTTGAGATATTTGTACAGATTTTTAATTTTTCGCTTCTTAGAAAGCGTATTACACTGTTATAAATCTTTTATCAAACTGATCATCTGCCACTTTAGTGTGGAGAACTTTGAAGATTTCGTAATTAGCTCTATGAAAGTAAATTAGAAACTACCATATAAGTAATATAGAAATATGAAGGCTACATAGGTTTTGATAATATTTGAATAACTAGAATGTCTGGCACAATTTGAAGTTTGGACAGTTTAAGCAATTGGGAAATTTGAATGTGTATAACACTATTGAAATATTTGTAATAAAACATTAAAGATAGTTTTCAGTTAAGTGGTCGGGAGTATACAAAATATACAACGTGAATGAGGGTGCATAAATACTTTTAGTATTAGAAAGTCGAAGATGTATGTAACTACCCTTTACATTTTTCAATACTTTTTTACATAAAAATGTTTCTTTTAACAACATATTTATTTCTATATCGTTAGTATCTTATATAGGATTTATTATTATAGAATTGCAATCGCGAATTTATAGCATTTACAAAATATATGGAACAACTTAAATCGAGAAACATAATCAAAAGTTACAAATATTCTTTATGTTGTAATTATGTAATATAGTAAAATTTTTCCTAGACAATATAAGATGCTGTATAATTAACAATAGAGTATTTAATTGTAGCGATAAACTTGCATAATTATTGATATCTCTTAAAATCTTATTTTCGAAAAAATTTAGTTTAGAACATTATGAAGAGCATCTGTCTAAAACAACAGATTGGTACTAGATTTTTTAGAAAATAAAGGATTCAATAAAAGAATTGGATTCGTCACTTATTATCTACTTCTGCACCCTCTCATCCCTCGAATATACCAGCTGTATTTAATCAAGAGTTAGTCAAATGTTCGATAAAAAAGAAACAAATATAGAAATGTCATTTTATTTTTATTATCCTTTGTGCATATAAAATCATTAAATTGTTTTTCGTCATTGTGATATATTTATAAGTTACACAATCCATTAGCCCCTTATCTTATGAATTATTTCTCACCTGTGAACGGTACAACTACTTTGCCCTTAATAGCTTATTGAAAAACAGACAAAAATTCTAGACATATCTTATATCTATGTTAGTTATAAAGTATAAAAATTGATAACAGAAAAGTAATATTTAATTTGAATTCACAAGAATTGATTAATATTTATATTTATTAAATTGTATTTAAAATATTCACCACGTGCTCCATACGTTATTCTAAGGCAAGACGTTAACAGTGTTAACGACCACGGATGAAAAGTAATAATAACGATCTACACCAATCTATCGCAAAATGTCCACAATCACATGTAATGAATTCATTGTGCTATAACACAACACAAGAATCTCTAAGTAAAAAAGAAGAAAATTTGAAAATATATACATATAAAGATGAATAGAAATGCCGTATATATTCTTTATCCTCCGATAATGGAATACATAATAAATCCGTGCAATAATCGAAGAAATAATTCGACCGATACACACTTCGCCTTGACCGTACATACGCGTCGTACGCACGGTTGCAAGTAGATTCCTATGACCAAATATCGTGACATAGACATTTACGTTCTCAATTGCCAGTGTTCCCAAAAACCACCTATTCGCAGCGGTTTTATACATTCTATTAATCCCTTAATCTATGATTTCTTTCATAAACGCGCCCGCAATAATTACTTTCACATTAATCATTTACTGGAAAGGAAGGAGAAATTCACATTAATCTATATCTACGGTTAGTTCGAAGTGTAACAGCTGATAACAGAAATATAATACTTCGTTTGAATTCAAGCGAATCAAGATTCAATTACTTTTGTTCATTTGTATGGCAAGGGGTTAATCCGGAACAGTCGGGAAACTTCACTATGCGGAACTATAAAAAATGTTGTTTTCAGTGTTGTTTATTATACTTCCTATAGTTTGGGATACATTTTTTGTGATATTACATTAACGGTCAACAATTTTCTGTTAACTCATTACAAACGAGACTGTCTTAAACTTCTAACTTTTTTTTTACAGTGTATTTTAAGTTGTGTTAACCCCATTAGATCATTGACAAATACTTTAAATTATGCAGATAATTAACTTTGTACGTGATTGTATTGCGCATTCTTTAGTTATAAATGGCTGATTACATTAAGTATAATACTTTCATTCCTTTTATAAATTTAAAAATATTAGAGTATGCGTCTTTTCATAAAAAAACTACGAGAAAAATACCATATGTCAGTCTTTTGTTAGTGGAGTAAATAAATTATTCATTTGTAGTTTTCGATTGTAGATAAGTATAAGTGAAATTACACCCAATTCTATTTATAAACGAACTTGTTTTACACAATTTTAATTTAACACGAATTATTTCCACCTTTCTGCACGATTCGTTTGTTTCAACACGAATTAGTAAGAATTTATTTTCTTTTTACACAACGTGGTTAGACATAATCACCCAAACTCTGACATGAACCTTTTCTTTCTTATTTAGTAGAATTAATCTCCATTTATCTATAGGTACAATATATTTTTTCACAAGGAACGTATTTATCGTACAAAAACAGAATTGGGCGTATCACTGAAAAATGATTGATCGTTAACACAAGCGCCGTAGAAATCATGAGCGTTTTACACAACACTAATTCGTTCGTAGCAAAGACAAATAGGAACAATTATTAACACTACGTTTACGCGACGCGTCAATTTGACGCACATTGAATTTTATAAAAATTATTTAGTAAATGTTTAGGTCGGTTTTGATCGATGCAATCGCACGAATATGAATACTAATTGTCTATTTCTAAACCTCTTATTTTCAAGATCAAAATGAACAGACATCCACTTTTAAAGGAACAATAGAGTAAACTGTACAATAAATGTCCATAAACGTAGTGTTAATTGTCTGGCATCATAATTCTTCCATTACACTGTTGTCAACTTAGTTACGTTATTAAACACTTTTATGCGACATCAGTTACGTTACATATAATTATTTTCTAGCAATTCGG